AAACGAGTTTGTAGGGTGTGTGTGTGTGTGTCTGTATGTCTGTCTGTCCATCCATTTGCCTCACAGAAAGATCTGACATAATCACAGTCAGTAGGAAGGCTTTTGAGTTAGAATACTAGCGTGACAGTTAAAAAAGACATGGGAAAAGAAAGAAAAAAGATGACCCAATGCTTCTGGCACTAACTGGAAGGAGTTAGAGTCTGAATACACTTTTAACCCTTTTGTATCCCAACCTCATTATCATCAGGATCATACTAGATTTGGTGCCCTAGGAAGCCATCCTGACCTCAATATCCTCAACAATTTCCCCAACAACCAAAGACTTGTCTGAATTGGAAATACAACCCCATTATTAAAAGCTAGGCAGGTAATTGCTAATAATTTAGTGCCTGGGACTGTATCCCAAATAAAATCAGGAAAAAAATTTAAAGAATTTTGAAGGATAGAAAAAAACCGTCCTCAGAATTCAGGGTCAAAAATTAGTAGGTACATATTTGAAAGAACCTCTATAGAACAGAATGTTCCTTGGGAATGAGGAACATGTTGCTCAATGTACATGGGGCCAACCATATTTGAACTAAACCTACAGAAATTCAGGTTAATTGGGGAGGCAAAGTTTGATTAGGAAAATCCTTTTCCAGAAACTACAGATGGAGTTTCCTTCAGAAAGGCAAATAGATATAAAAATATCTAAATTCATTACTCTTCACTCTAGTCACATTTAGTTCATCTGTGATGTTTTAAAATAAAAATATCAAAAACTGGGTCATTTATAAAGAAAATTTATTTCTTAGAGTTCTTGAGGCTTGGAAGTCTAAGATCAAGGGCATCAGCATTTGCTATCTTGTGAAGAGGACCTGATCCCTGTCTCTTTCCAAGATGGGACATTGTTGTAGTGTCCTCCACAGAAAAATGCTGTATCCTCACATGAAAGAAAATATGGGAAGACAAACGACCACTTCCTTCAACCTTGAGCCCTTTTATAAGGTATTTGCTAATTCCTTCTTTAGGACAGTGTTCTCATGTCTTGATCATCTCCCAAATACCATACCTCTTAATACCACTGCACTGAAAATTAAGCAGCAACATGAATTTGGGAGGGAACATCATCATTCAAATCACCTTACACACTCTGAATCCTATAGTTCTCTAAGTATCAAACCACTTCACTTTAGTTACAACTGCTGCCACTCTACACTGCTTAGACATATGAAAGGAAACAAAATTCTAACACTAAACCAGTATGACCTTCTTCCATTTAAAAATTTGGAGATTTCAGCACAAACAAGCTAAATTTTTTAGAAGAATGTTGAAAGGGCACAAATACTTCAAGTTTGGATCCATGTTTAACTGATACTGATATGAGGGGGTAGCCTTTGTCTGATTAATTCCTCTTCATCTCCCAGGTCTCAGCTAAGAAGTCATTCTTTCCAAGTCTTCTTCTCTGATTCACGAGTTAATGGCTATCCCTTAACACACCAGCCTGAACTCCTAATTCTCCCTGCAGTACCCAATTCACCCAGCTTACCTATCTGCATTGCAAGTACCTGTCTTTTTTTTTTTTTTTTTTTGTACCGGGGACAGGACTCAGGCCCTTGTGCTTTCAAGGCAGGTGACACAACCACTAAGCTAAATCCCTGGCCCCAAGCACCTGTCTTCTAATGAATCTCTCCAGCAACCTTCAAATTAGGTAAGACAGGCTATATCTAATCTGATCCTCACTGCATCTTGAGTACCTAACACAGTGCTTAGAAATAGTGCTCAAGAGATGTCTGTAGAATGGCAAGGGACAGAGAAACCTGGCAAAACCTGAAATGCAACTGCCATGATGTAGTTCCATGATTATCCCACTTAGCAAATTTATTCCCCAGAACTTAACCCTTTAAACTATGAAGACTGCTTTGGGTAAAGTGTTCTATCTGAATCAGCTAACAACATTATAAAGTTCAATATCAAACTGCAAATAATGATAGAATCAGGTAATATGGAAAATAAGTTCAAGAACAAAATTGCTATTACCACAGTGATTGGCTTAGAATATGATTAGGATAACAAACAATAAGTAGTGCCGATGGCTTACTCAGATTATCACGTATTTATTTCCTTTATGCTATCTTAAAAGTATGTCTCATAAACATATCTACTGTTTACACTTCCTGAATATACACTACTTAACACCTGGATGCATGTTTACCTTCCCCAAGGTACATCAGCTCATCATGTAACCTAGATGAAGAATCCTGTGGGGTTGGGATTTAGCTCAGTGGCACTGTGCCTGCCTTGCAAGTGCAAGGTCCTGAGTTCAATCCCTGGTACCAGAAAAAAAAAAGAATCATTATAATCTATAATTATTTATTTGCATTCATACAATGCTAGAGGTCCCATACTATGAGAAGAGGATTTAACTATTCAGAGCACAAATTCTTGAACTGAAGAAAAATTGGTTTGAATACTGTTTCCAGTACTAGCCTTCTCAGTGTCTCCAAGGCCATTATTGAACCTCTCTACACCTCAGTTTTTCTGTCTATAAAATGGAACAAATGACCCCTGCCTCATAGTCAAAGCCACAGTATATTCTGGGCCACAGCATAAAGCCCTGAAAGAGAAGTAAGGGAAGTGACAAAAGAAATGCAAAGTGGAAGTGCTTGGCTCAAATTTACAACTGTTAATGCTAGCTAGTATTATTGTGCCAATGAATCAGATATGAATCCTGTCCTCAAGAAGCCTACAGTGGACAATGGGAAATAATACAAGAGTAGATAGAAAGGGAAGCATGCAAGTCAACTGTCAGTTCAGATAAGGAACAACTGAACCTGGGAAGATGATGACCATTTCCAAGAAGGAATACTACCTGGTAACTTCTCATTTGTCATAAGAAACATTTCTGAGATATTTCATATTAAAAGAAGGAAGGTGACAGTTCAGGTGCTGTGAAAACCAAAGGTCTAAATCTCAGAGGGAACAATTAATTGTTGTGAATATCTACATTCAGTTCAAACTTGATAATGCAGATGCAAGAATACTCTATGTCACATTTTGATGTTTATAAAACAGCTAACAATGCAGCAAAAGACACCTGAATACAGATTGGTTAAAACTTCATTTATTCTTATTCAGGACCTATTATGTGTCCTTCTTTGTAAAACTCTCTATACATCAAGATTAGTCCTCTCACAATGAAATCCTTCTCCAGGAGAGAAGGGAAAGGGACAAGGTAAGTCAGGATGGTCAGCTTAGAAATGAAGCCACCTAATTTATTTTGGGAACATTCTCAATTTCCTGGAGAGAAGAGTTCTGACTAATGGCAGCAAGACACACTGCATATTCAAAGAGGAAGCTTAGATTTAAACTCCAGCTCATGGAATTAGGCTCCTTAGGCCTTTTATGTATGGATTTAAGACTAATTTCAGTGGAAGAAGGAAAGATATGGCTCTATTTTCATGCTCCTCAGCATGTAACTTTTTATGTCTTACTGAAATGTAAGTAACATTTCTAATTGCATGATAAAAATATTCTGCACAACAACTGCTCTTAATAATAGACTTTAGATTAGCCATTTCATTACCTGATAATTACCAGATCATTAGAGCAAATAATATGTCCTTGTGGGATAAACTTAGGGCAGTAATTTAAAAGAATAGGAACACTTTCTTAAGGTTACCATTAGGCAATGTGCAGAATTAGTTATCAAATTAAATGAATATAAATGTACTTTTTAAAAGTAAACAGTGGCACCATGAAATTTATAGCTAATTCTGGATCATGGAACCAGAAAGGAAATGGATGGAAGGTCCCACCATCTCATTTTACAGATAAGAACAATGAGGAACAAGTCAAATTTTCTTCCTGGGATACAGAGGTAACAGGAGCAGTCAGGACTACCGTGGATCTCTTATTCCTTATTTCAAAATTGTTTTAGGGCCACTGATTTAGCTCAGTAGTTTTGCCACCTACTGACCAAGCGCAAGGACCCGAGTTCGATCCCCGATACCAAAAAAAAAATTGTTTTAATCATGGCATCCTCTAACTAGAACACAGATTTGATTTTTTAAAATCTTATTTAACTGAAATATTTGGAAAATGCAGAATTAGTTAATTGAATCTTCTAGTTAAATGGGTTTGGAGTGAAAACTAATCTTATCTCATTGGAAATTTTTCAATTGATGAAGAGGGAAGATTTCAATGCCAAGTCCCACTCTGGTTCTGATTAGCCATCTTGGCCTAAAGTACATTTTCTCCTCTCCATCTGGCCAGGTATTTGTCACCTTCAGATTAAACCCATTCCTCAGCCATGCTTTTTCTACCTTTAGACTAAGTAAGCTCCTCCTATCTCTGCGTTATTAGCTCTGTCTCCTATGCTTAAACCAAGCAGGTTTTAATTAGGCATTTCATATTTGTTTTTCCCAACTAGACCATTAGTCCTTAAACTAAATCATGGATCAGAGTCACCTGGATAACTTGATAAAACAAAGATTGATGGACCCTACCTTGAAAGTTTTTGATTCAGTATCTCTGGGGTGGAGCCTGAGAATTTGTATTTCTAACAAGCTCCCAGATGATGTTGATAGACTAGGGACCATATTTTTAAAATACCTGAGCTAAACTACACAACTGATGAAGAAAGGGGCCAGGTCTGTGTTATTTATTGTTCTATACCTTATGTCTAGGGCAACAGCTAGCATAAATGAAGTAGGTGTTTAAGTCATGTGTAATGGGATATATTTGTCATTCCACCACTGAGAGAGGCTAAGGTAGGAGGATCCCAAGTTGGAGTACTGCCTGGACAACTTAGTGAGACCCTGTCTCAAAATAAAAATAAGTAAACAAATAGGGCTGAGGGTGTAGCTCAGTGGTAGAGCACCTGTTATGATTTAGATCTAAAATGCCCCCCAAAAGTCTCACATGTGGAGGTGGACTTTTGGGAAGATGACTGGATCATGAGATGCTATATTCATCATAGATTAATCCACTGGAGGGATAACCAGGAAGGGGGATTTCTCATGCCGCTGCCCTCCCCCATCAGCTACCTGGCTGCCATGGAGTGAGTAGCTTTCCTCTACCATGCCCTTCTGCCATAATGTGTCTGCCTTGGAACCAACCAACCAGTGACTGAACCTTCTGAAAATGTGAGCCAAATAAACTTGTCCTCCTTTAAGTTGTAGGTATCAGGGATTTTATCGCAACATCAGGAAAGTAACACAGTCCCTCTGGTTTCAACCCCCCATACTACAAAAAATAAAATAAAGTATTTGGGCTGGTCATTGTGACACACAGCCCTAATCCTAACATCAGGCAGGAGGCTGAGGCAGGAGGATCAAAAGTTCAAGTTCCATCTAGGCATTTTAGTGAAACCCTGTCTCAAAAAAAATAAAAAGGGCTTGGGAGGTACCTCAGTGGTACAGCCCCTTGGCTAGTCCTCAGTAACACAAAATAAAAGTATTTGATAAATAAATAATTTTCTCCTCTGGGACAAAATATTTTGATTCCAAATATCTGCAGTATGACATAAGGCAAGCTTGGTGAAGGGTACATAGAAACTCTCCATAGTATTTCTGCATTTTTCTATAAACCTAAAATTATTCCAAAATAAAAAGTTGTATACACACACATGGTTGGGCAGGACTTTAGGATATATCCTGGATTTTTAAAATTTAATTTCCAACAGAAATTGATGGAACTTTTTCTTGGTCTTCTCTTGCTGGAGAATGCAGTATGCAATCAAGTCCTAAGTGAGCATTCAGGGTTGGCTGGCTTCTAGTAAATAGCTGCATCAGTCCTTTACCTGTAATTGTGACAGACCCTCTGATTTCAACTCTCTTGGACAAAATGAAGAACAGATGTGCACCCAGATGATGCTTTCCATTATTCAGTGGAAGTATCCTAATTATCAGTAAATTACTTCCTGAGTGCCCTTTGTAAGTGTGGAAGACCTGTATTATGCAACAGCTGAGACAGCAACCACCTGTTGAATGGATGACTTAGAGCTTCTGAGAATTAGTCTTGGCCTCCAAATATCCTAAGCCCCCACACACACCATTCCAACCTCCCTCAGGGCTGAGATGTCCATCATGAAGAAAGCGACCCTTAGCTTTCAAATCTTGCCTTTCCACAAGACTCCTCTTTAAAATGGTAGCACTTTCAGACATTGTCCATCATTTTAACCCCAAATGGGATTCATTTATCAGACTGTCTTCCAGTGCAACAGCCAGCCTAAGGAGGCATGAGGAAGCCATGTTTGAGAAGCAGGACTGCAGGACTGCCTGAGCAGGGCACAGAGAGAGGAACAGTGTCCTGAGGGAGAAGCCAGTTAAAGTCCTAAAAGGGAAGAGAAGAAAGTGGCTAAATAATATACATTCATTTGTTGGCCAGCCCTGGGAATTACTGTGCATTTCACTGAGTCTTATACATAAAAAAGATATAACTATTACCTCCAACCAAGACAAAAGTCAAACTTCAGCAATATTAATAAGTAATACATACTAATTACATAGTGCCAAAGGCCATCCTGGGTACTTTATCAATGCCTCTGTTCACTTAACATTGTGCCACTGCCATGTCATCAGATTAGATCTTCCAAATATCTTGTGAGGTAGTGACTGTTGTCCACTCTTTACAGCTGAGAAACTGAGGCACAGAAAAGTGAAGTAATTCAGGGCATGGTGGAGTATACATATAATCTCAGCTACTTGGGAGGCTGAGGCAGAAGGATTACAAGTTTAGCAATGCTAGCCTAGAAAACTTAGTGAGGCCCTCTCTTGCAATAAAGTTTTTCAAAGGGAATGGAGATGCAGCCCATTGATAGAGCTCCTTGTCTAGGATGTGCAAGGCTCTGAGTTCAATCTCAGTCCCAAAAAGTAGAAAGAAAAGTGAAGTGATTTGTCCAAGCTATTACATTAGGTAAGAGGCACATTTTGGGTTTAAACTTAGGGCCATCACCACAAACCATCAAAGAATCCTGGAGCACAATTTAAGACAAATTTATGAATTTTTGGCATACAGGAGAACACTGAGTTACATGCATGACACATCAAAAATCTATTCAATGAACCTAGCGAAATATTTCCCAAATCTAGAGAAAGTTGAGGCATTTAAATCACAAAAAGGCATAATCAGGAAAGGAAAGAACTTTCTTCTATCATATTATAGTCAAAATGACATGAGTAGAGAACAAGGAAAGACTGCTGAAAACTGCAAGACAAATGCCAACACAGTTATAGAATTACTCCCTTCAAAATAACTGCAAATTTTGAAACAATATCTTAAATCAAAAGAGAAAATGGTGTGATGCATTTTATGCACTAAAAGAATATAGCTAGCAACTTAGAAACCTATTTCCAGATAAGCTATCTTTAGAACCAAAGGAGAAATAAAAACCTTTCAAGACTGGCATAACTAAAGAAATCCATGATCACTCTTCAAGAATTGTAAAAGATATTTAAAGGTATCTTATATACAAAAGAGGAAGATAAATACAACCCCAAAAACATGGTAAAAATAATTCTTACTTGATGAGCAGATAAGGAAAGCAGAATTAGGTCTAAAGCATACATTGATAAAAACCAAAATAACAGGAGTTGGTATAAGTTTTCAGTATTGACCCAGAATATAAATGGTTTTAATTCTCTAATTAAAATGCATTGCCACATTGCATTTGAAAACAAGACCTAACTGTTTGGTGCCTGCAAGAAATACACTTCACCAGCAAGGGCATACACAGATTGAAAGGAAAAGGATGAAAAATGATATGCCCAGCAAGGAATCCAAAGGGAAGAAAGAATATCTATACTCACATCCAACAAAAAAAGACTTCCAGACAAATGTTTTCAGAAGAGACAAAGTTCGCCATATATTAATGAGGGAAATCATCCACCAAGATGATGTAAACATTGTAACTGTATGTATACTGAATGCCAGTGACCCAGATGAGATTCTCTTGATCTGTCTGCTAGGAGTGTGATGGGGAGAGGTTGGTACACATTTCCAGAGCTGTCTGGTCATTGGGATCTCACAGTCCCTTATACAACCCCTAGTGCCAATCCACAACCTTCCTCTTTTGGGATCTACCAAAATGAAGACAGCTTTGACTTTCTGGCCAAAGCTTATGTGAAGCATCCTTAGTATTTAGCACAGAGCATTTCAACTTAAACTATTGTGTATAAATTAATTTATCAAATACATATTTTAAGTTGGAACTTATGTTGTACTATGAGAAATGTTCCAAATATTCTTGCACTTTATAGACCCACTAAAATGCATACCTGTTTGTCAAGATTTCAACAGAGAAATAGTAAGATTATGGATTCGATCTTTTCATCAGTATATTTAGGTCTAAATCTTCCTGAAGTTTCCACTTGTTACTTAGGGCTAAATTTCCATCTGTGGAAAGACAAATAGTATTGTCCTTGGGATAAGGCAAGTGGGCTACCAGTAGCTAGGACCTGTGATTGCCTCTTCCCCTTCCTGTGAGATTAGCAGCTTCTGTTCACATTGAATGCAATTCCCTCCAACCTCCCCTGAGTTTGGCAACGCTATTAGGTTTGTTTTTCTTTTCTTTTTTGTATTAAATTCTTTTATTGGTACATTGTAGGTATACAACACAATTACATTTCTCATTGGGAATTGTACCTTTACATAA